ATCTATTAAATCACAATGGAGAAATAGGTCAGTTTTTCTTGGTCCTAGGTTGTTATAAAACGAACATTGTATGAGTCGTATCGTTTTACAATTACTAATAGGATTCTTAAGAGAGAGTGTGAAAACAGGTGTGTCTTGAGTTAAACCGATATACAGTATTACCATTATAATATATAATCATTTTTTCTTTTTATATGATTCTACGAAATACAAAACAACAGCTACTATTAGAAGCCATGCGTTTTTAGCAAGAAAGCCAACAACCTCCCCAGCAGTTCTAAATATAAAAGAAGCTATTGCCCCCACCATACCAGGTAGTATTTGACCCAACTTTTTACCAAGGGTTTTTAAACCATTTCCGACACCTTTAGCGACGGTAGTCAACCCACTTTTGAGGCTATTTATTATAACACCGATAATAACCCCGACAGAGGTAACGATAGCTGTTACTGTAAAACCATATTTCTTAAAAATTAGTTTTATACGCTCTCTTAACGGTAGTTTTTCTTCAATAGCATCACTTTCTTCCTGAAGCTTTTGTCGCTCATCCTTGAGATCGTTCAACTTATCTCTTTCGCTGGCTAGTTGTGTTTTCGCTCTCTCAAGGTCATCATTCTTACTGTTTACTTCCTTCAGCAATCGATCTCTTTCGTTTCTTATATTATCAGCTTGCTGTTTTATTTCATCCGTCTGTCTTTTCGAACCATTATACATCTCGTATTCTGATTCAAGATCACTGATAATATCTTGTAGAGATCTTATAGAATCTGTGTCAGAATCAATTTTATCCTCTAGTATGACAACTTTCGGGTTTAGGGTAGTTAATTGTTCATCAACTTCTTTGGTCTTCTTATCGATTGCATCTAGGACCACTTCAGTGGGATCTCCAATAGCATTTTTTATAGCATTCGGCATGTTATTGTTTTTAGCACCAGTTTTAGTAAACACATTGTACCAGTTATCATTGTCATCGTGAGTAATTTCTAATCTCCCTTTATTATATCGTAAGTCAAAACCATCCTTAATTTTTATTTTATTATTTGGAAACTTGGCATCAAGTTCCCCCTTTGCTTCATTGTACTCCATGATTTCTTCATTCGATCTCCCAAGGTTTTCTGTTATTGTATCTGGTAAAGCATCACTCCATTTACCATTGAATAAAAAGTATGGCTTTGCCCCTTTATTCTTTAATCTAACTTCGACTCTTTCATATTCATCCAAAGTAAAAAGAAAAGGACTTTCTCTTGGGTTCCATTCTGGGTATAGCTTACGTATGCGACGAGCTGCTGTCTGCATCTTTCTTACCCTATCTTTTGTCTTATCTTTAATATTTTCTAATTCTATTTGTTCGAGAACCCTATTACCCCATTCACTTAGATTCGTTTGGTCTCTTAAATAATTTATTCGTGTCACCTCTAGACAAATTAATGCCACGAGCTTTTAAAAAATTCCTAAACTTACCTCCCCAACTTGTACTAGTTTCATCTTCTAAAGATAATAGTGGTTCTAATTCATCCTTAGTAATAGGGTCGTTAATATTTCCAGCTCCATCAGGATCCAATGGATTGAAATCAATTCCACCTTCTGCCATTAACTATTATATTAATATAATAGTAAATAGTTTTTTATATGAATTTATAAGAATTTTGATGCTAAATAACCAGCACCCAACATACCACCGCCAACATACATCATCTCATATTGTTTCTGTTTATCACTTGGTTTATAATAGTCGCTAAACTTAGGTTTATCTCCAATATCGAATTTGATATCTGGATGAGCTTGGCTATATAGTTTAAATGCCATATCTGTATTATTGAAAGCTTCATCTGCAATTTTCTTATCAGCATATTCCTTATTTAACCAGTCTTGGTATGCCTGTCTTTTCTTTTCATATTCACCCATTTGTTTCTGATATGCTTCTAAAGCCTTGTCATGTCTTATCTTCTCTTCGTCAACTCTTGATGAACCACCATCAAGGGATTTAGCTAGATAAGAACCCCCCACAAATGCTGTAGCGTTTAATACTGCTCCTGCTACCATTACAGCTATGGTTGCCATTTATATATAATTTATAATCATATATTTTTATATGTTTAGATTGAAGTTGGTATAATCTTTTTAGTTTCAAGATAGTCCTTCAAATACATAGAACCAGCTAGAACTAAAACCCATTTTCCATAGTTAGACAAGGAACTTGATGGGTCATTAATAAAAGATTCTTTCATGACTTTCTTACCTACATACCCAATTCCTGCAGCAATCCCTACAGTTACGCTAGCGTCCATGACGGTTTTAACTACTTTGTTTTCAGTTGTTGAACTTGACATCTTATATATATAATTATAAATATTTTATTTTTATATATATTTTATTCCATGCCTATTTTCGGTACAGGTATTTTAGATGATTTCGTTGGTTTAGGGGGTAATTGTAGTTCCGTCATTGATGAAGGAACTGGTAATTTAGGCTTTTCATCTGTATTAATAACAGGTGGTGCTTTAAATTCATATTTATTCTGCTTTCTCCATCTAAAATATAAATCAACAGCTGTAAGAGTTATTCCAACCATAGTCAATGCTGTTGTTAGTGATATTTCCGGCATCCATTTAGAATCACTATTATCTTCTTCTTCAGCAACATTTTCATGTTCCTTCTCTTGTTTAAGAGCCTGCTTAGCTCTCTTATGATATTCTGCTAGTCTTTTACCAGCTGCCACTTTTTTAGGATCTTTCGTCTTTGTT